GTTTAAAAGCCTTTGCACTGTACATAGGTACTACTAAATTTTACTATGCCGTAGGTCAATGTCGAATCAGAGCGTTTAGCCAAACGCCACTTTAGCGCTTGTCTACAGAGAGTGTAGAAAACTAAATGTATGGGGATGATACTGACAAGTGTCAAAATTTACGTCAATCCCATAATAATATAATTTGGTTTTCTATTCTCCATGTAGACAAGCGCTAAGTGGCATTTGGCTACAGCTGCTGGAACGTAAATCTAAGGATGGCATAGATACTAGTTTTAAGTAAAAATGCAATCCACGATAGTGTGTGAAATGTACGATAAATTGTACACACAGAAACATTTAAAATAACTTCTTTATTATATCCATGATGGTACAGTATAGCAGGCGGTCATCCAATTACCGAGCTAGAAAAGCAGTTAAATTGGATTAGCGCATGAGATAGAATGACTAGGCGGGAGTAGGCGTTAGCGTGGTGTTCCACGCGCGATACTTGAAGAAGGGAAGCAGCCTGCTAGGGCCGCTAAGGTGGCGGGACCTGCCGCAAACATAGCGGTAGATCGAGGCCTGCCAGATGTGGTGATTCCGTAAGGGCAACCCGGGTCACGGTCACAGGCAGTGAAGGAACACCGCGGTGGTTTTAGCCGGTAAGAGTCCGGCACGCCCCCTCGTCGTCCCCACGACGTGGGGAGTCCACGAGGATTGCCATCGCGTTAGAAAAAAACAAATGAGACAGACTGACACTCGTTTATATAATATAATCTGTTGATACATGATCTATCTTCAATATTTATCTTTACTACATGGTAATTAAGCATTAAAGCTAGTAATTACATTAATTAGTACCAATAATTGGTACCTATAGGTCAGCAAGTTCAATAACTTGTCAGTAGGACGAATCAATATCCATTTGGAATTACTTTGCATTCTCGAAATTTCCATTCATTTTATTTATTGTTGGTATTATTATAAATTGGAAATATTAAAGCAATTCGCAATAAATTGAAATAAAAGTTATGTAAAATGCACGTACTGTCCGAATTGAGAATGTTCGCCTTTTTAAAGTCGGTTAAAAAACAAACCATCTCACCTAATTATGGTGTTGAGTATGTCTATATTTTTTATTTTTACTTGTTCATTTCTAAAGTTTTGATCTTGGTTAGTTATCGCCTCTACACTCTTCTTTGTTTACTTATACAAATAACGAAACACGCTTCAGCGTGAAGGGCCGGCTCGAACTCGACGTCACACCACGGCCTCACAGAAAACCGACGTGAAATAACGCTTGCGTTGTGTTTCGTCAATACCTGGCTTGGTACAATACCTGGTTGTATACTATTGTGTAGTGTATTGAGTCTGATATAATAGGCAGGTATAACATCATCGAGAGATCGACAAGTATCAACCTAGGTTCATATTACGATCAAAGAAAATTTGAATCTTATTAAAATATCTACCTCTAGTAAGTAACATAAAATATTTCATACCTTTTATTTTGTGCATATATTTAAAAAACTTTCGATATTGCTTAATGGAAAGGTAACTCTCAAAGGTATCATGATACCTAGCCAATTTTGATGTACCTAACTAAGATTGAAGTAGAAAAATGTTTTCGAAAAATATACCTACAATAGTTTCAAAATTCAATACATCATTTACGTAAATGAAGACCACAGAAACTTTTATCGATATTCACATACAATACAATATTTTATAATTGAGTATTTATATCAACAGCTCGTGGCAGTCCATTGCTGGAATATGTACCTCATGTAGTAATCTCCACAGTTGGCGTATGGGTTAGAGCCCAAACTTTAAAAAGGTTCATCTGAGAACATAGCATCCCACGACAGAGTCATGTACAGCAAGGCCGTCTTGCGCTTCGGCGCGCAACATTTCGGGACCACTTTTGAATTGCCCTTTTTTTTAACGTTGCCCCATACTAGGATTTTCTCCTATATAGTGGGTGCATTTACAAACATACAAGTTCACATACACATGACACCCCGGAGTGCCTAAGGGAGTGTGCAACCCAAGGCGGGAGAAGTCATTGGATGATTCCCCCCCCCCCCAAAAGGCTCGGAACAACAATTTGTGGATCATATAAAGATTTGCTCCGTGGGAGAATCGAATGTACTGGGTGTGTGTCCGTCGAAACAATTTTCGGTTGTCATTCTTCAGAGCCCACTGATGTTGGGGGCCCTGGGCACGGCCCCGAATCCCTTTATGGTACAGACGTTACTGCAAACCAGTCTCTTAGTGTAATTCTATAATACCCACTGTAAGAATAAGCATTGTGACAAATATATTCAATTCTGCCGTCACTAGACGCCCTGTTTTTTCGCAATACATGACCTATATATGTTCAAAGACTTCCAAGTAATATTAGCGTTACTTTCAATATTTGTTCCGAGTACAAGGAAAGTTGTTTGTTACCGTACAGGATGTAATACAAGTCGCCTTAGAGAAATGGCAGTGTTATGTTACTTGACACTGTTACTGTGTTAGTACTTGTTCAGAAAACTACATTATGTAGTATTTGATCGTGTGGTTTGTATGTGAGATTCTTTTTGTGTTTAAGTGAATGAATATCTACTTATATATTTTGGGTTGGTATGAAAATTGTTATTGTTCCATGGTTTTTGTTGTTGATTGTTATTAAATTGAATAATCATCTTCGTTAATTGATGTCCTATAATATTTTTTTATTTTGTACACCATTTATAAAAGAATGTATAGGATTATTGATAGCAAGAATTTGGTAGAAAATCGCCTGTTATAAAGTAGATTTTTTGTAAAATTGCCTTTTGTCTTTTCTCTGTTTCTGCCTCTCAATTCACTCAGTAGTTTCTATTTCAATCTTAACCTGTCAAACCCGTGTTATAGTGAAACTGATTTCTGTCCCGAAATCACGTGTGTGCCAACTGCTAACAAACCGTCTTTGTTGCTCAAACGTTTTTCGGTACAGCCCTTAAACAAATGACATAAACGCTAGTCGAATTCAGTCTGAGCCTTAGTCGAAATAGTTCTGGCGACACATGTCAAATGACAGTTCAAACAAATCAACGGATGACATCACAAAAAACATCGCACATGTAAAGTTTACATACGATTTAACACGGATAGAAAATTCCAAAGAGAAAGCCCGCCAGGCACGATCACCTCGCCTGGTCGGAGGATCCTCCTTTTCAGATCTTAGGGAACTTTCCACTCTGTTACCTAAATACTGATAAAAAAAACCTGTAAATTGGTTTGTACAAATATACTATAACTTTCGTGACACATATTAAATTAATTATTGCTATTTTCGGCTTACTCACGTAATTATTTGACGAGGAACTCGACTAGTTTCAAGCCGTCCTAGAGGCTCATATTCATGTCAAATTAAAAAATGTATTGACGCCTTTTAATTAAGGGTATTGTTTTTAGTACTTTTTAATATCTTTTTATTAGTTTAGTTGCAGTTAATTTTTAACTGTCAAACACCAAGCGGTCACCGGTGACCGCAACCTATTGTTCTTTAATTGTGTCTATAAATACGGTACTCGACGAGTTAAGTTGCAAATATTTTTGTAGTTACATCTTATTTACTTGTAAATGACTATTTTCAAATTATGTGATACAATAATTAGATTTTTAAATATATTCCAAAGTGACTATATGAGCGTCAATATCATAGATTGCCTTTTCTATTCAGTTATTCGAGTAGTGAACAAGCTAGATACAAGTTTTGCCAAAATTCGTCACAGTCAATGTCAATTCTATACCTAGATTACAGTTATGATCTGACTCAGAGAGATCTAGACCTCGCTACGTATGGCGGGAATTACATCATTATTTATAATCTGTCACCCTTAACCCTGCACGTTTATATGCGCGTGGAATTTGACGTAAATCTATATGGAGTTTAATCTGAGTATATTATGGAGAGATTTGTTAGGAATGCGTAGAGAAAGTACGTCAATAGAAATTGCATAGGTTTACAGAAGTAAATAAACAAATCTGTGAACTATCTGACTGCTGGGCAAAGTCTTATCTTCTCATACTGATTACCAATGTGTGCATGTATATATAAGGGGGCTACTAAACTAAACTAACAATATTTTTCGTGGGTAAATTCTTTTGACAGGTAGGTACTAACGTAGGTAGATGTAGATATAGACTGCCTCGTTGGCCGAGTGATCGCAAGTGCGACTGCCGGGCAAAGGGTCTCGGGTTCGATTCCCGGGTCGGGCAAATATAACGGGTTTTCAAAAATCTCAATAGTAGCACGGAGTCTGGAAATGTGCCCGGTTAGTTAGTTATAAGTCCCATGTAATATGGGGTGAGCCTATTGCCATATACCGGGCACATTTCCAGACTCCGTGCTACTACTGATGAGATAAGTATTTAAAAAAAAATTAGTACTCTTGAGTGTCAATACTGGCGCCCATTGCATCTATATTGCGTGGATATTGAATAAACTAAATGGTATTGAGTTTGGCTTTATATTCTGTGTTCTGAATGCTATTTTAACAGCTACCATAGGGGTTGTATAAAGACATTGAATAATTATTGAGATTTTATTGAATTGAAATTGCATTGACATTGAAATTGGTTTCAAGAGTACGATCCTAGCAACTTCATTTTTTCCAAACTCTTTTTGCCAAGCTGTACGCGCCATATATGCTCCGCTCAGGTAGTTAGAGACAATAGAACTCCAATTAGTATGACTGGAATACCTCTCCTGCTTCATTTATATTCAACAATCTTTTCATACAAGCTCGTTCGTTGAGGACATTCCAACTTTATTCTGTTAATTAACTAAAAATTGCATGATAGTACAACATTTATAGAATAACATTATCATTTACCATGTAAGTTTTCCCAATTCGGCTGCATGTTACAATTTTGATTTTTTTTCTAGGTACATGGTAGGTACCGTACACAAAAGACTTTACATCGTATATTTTATCTGTTTAGTATTTTTATAGTCGGCCTTTTAATCGAAATTCCAAACTCACCCGTAACACAGGGGTGATCTTGAAGGAACTGTGCCTTGAGCTGGTCGAGCTTCTCAGCGATGCTCTGCTCCAACGGACCTTCGATGGCTTGAAAGACTGACGCTCCTGTAGCAAAACAGAAGAAATATTAAAGAAATGTAGTCTTCTATCTGTAGTTTTGGGTGAGAGAAGCTGCTGTCGTACCTATTACAAGTTTATTTAATACATCTGGTGTTGCCCTATGACTTCTCGCCTTTTATCTTCTGAAAACTTGTTTTTATTTTATTTTTTTATCTTTTTCAATAGATGCAAACTTCGTTTAAAACACTTCTCTTCATGGTGGCTGGCTGGCTGGTATGGTTGGCTGGTAGAGAATGCCATTCGGCATTAACTCCGCCATTGTATACAGTTGTACATAAAGTGTTAAATAAATAAAAAACTGAGGCATACAAAGCTAAAAATATCATTAGTAGAATTTGTATTATCGCTACTTAAGTATGAGATGATATATTAGATAAATAAACCTTTGTACACTTGTGAAATTGTACTGTATTCAGCTACTACTCAGATGGTAATATTATAATTATCTATATTCGCAACAAAAAAGAAATGTGTAAAAATACTGAAAATCTAAAATGATATTTAAATACAATCGCAATCTTCGCTATCAGCGTCGCTACAAGCTTCAACAACACATATAGTGTTGTTTTAAAATTCGATTTCGTTCTGAATTTGAATCTGTTGGTAAAATGCAAAATGCCAGGTTTTAAGAAAGAAGGTTGGGTTATATTTCGAATATCTACTTTTTGTGACAACATGACGTTATTGATAGCTATTTATATGTCTAGCTAGTATATCGTGGTGGCCCGGAGGTTTAAGACGGCCGCTTCTCATGCATAAGGGGGCGGGTTAAAACCTACCAACGGCAAATTGTGACTTTTTCCGAGTTATATATACTTTCTAAGATTATCTAGACACCACAGACGGTGAAGGAAAACATCGTGAGGAAACCTGGGCTTATGATTTCTAATTATAAGTTTGTAATCGCCAACCCACATTGAGCAAGCATGGTGATTAATGCTCAAACCTTCTCCGTGTGAGAAGAGGCTTTGCTTAGCAGTGGGCATTTATAGGCTGTTGATGATGAGGTTTTGACTCGCACCCTCATGCATGAGAAACAGCGGTCTTAAACCTCCGGGCACGACACGACATAAGCTATCAAAAACGTCACGTAGTCACAAAAAATATACATATGTATATGTAAGTTTAGCTGTGTGTATAAATGAGAAATACCTAAATAATGTTAGGCAATATCGCAGTAGGTGTTTGCAAGGTTCTGACAGGATAATAGAAAAAGTTACAACTGTTTATATTGGACCTGTTTTTCTTCTAAATAATGATAGAAGGTGCCGAAAATAAATTCTTCATTTAGTTACCTTAGGCTATCAGTAACCGTAGTTAAATGAATAAAAGTAAACTTAACTCGTCGAGTACCGTATTTATAGACACAATTAAAGAACAATAGGTTGCGGTCACCGGTGACCGTTTGGTGTTTGACAGTTTAAGGTAAACATCTTACTAATTTTAAACTAATAACATAACATCACGCCTTACATACCCGAAAGGGTAGGCATAGGAGCACATTACGGCAGTTAATGCCACTGTACAATGTAATACCTACTTTTTACTATTTATGTTAGTAGTCCCATGTAATAATAGGTAGTGATCCTATTGCCATATACCGGGCACAATTTCAGACTCCGTGTAATTCGTGAGATTTTTTTAAAACCCTGTAATACTTTGCTCCACAAAAATGTATACCTTAAAATTGAAACGTAATTTACCTTAAACGTAATGTCGTAGATTGAAATAATTTTCAGTCTCCATCTACAAAATGATTTACACAACTCGTACTGGGATTTGTTTGATCGCCACTTTTACATTAGGGTTGAGTTTCATTTCATTATAATTTACCACGATACGAAGCAAATAGATAGGTAAAATATATTATGTATCAACAATAGACTAAAAGCTAACTTTAGTTTCAGCTAAGCTTTAAACGTATCTCTAATCTATATCTATAATAACTCGCGCAACGGAAAATCTGTAGTTCGTGATAAAACTACTTAACTTGGATGATTTTCTAATACGGAGAATTCACTTAAAGCGCTTTTCCAAGAAACACATCTTTGAGAATTATTCTAATAAATTTCAAATATATTTTATTAATATAGCGTAAATGTTAGCGATAAACAAACACAATTTACCTACACATAATCCGCTGGGACGCGTTGAATCTGTGCGCAAAAGATTAGCCGTCAGCCAGTCATTGTTCATTAATTTGTGATAGACCAATCAAACAGCACTCAATCTAAAACAATTTGCCGAATAAATACAGACTAATATTATGACTTGACTTTCATTGCCAAAGTTACACGAAATATATTTCTATTTATTACTAAAGCTACGGCCACGGCCTGCCACTCTTTATTCTAAAGATAAACGATTAGAAAGGATTTGGTCTTTCGGTCATTTTGAAATTACCTATATATCAATTTGTTTTTAAAAATCGAATGCCATGAACATTTTTTTAATCAAAATATTTGGTTTGAATTTTAGTAATTTTATTTTATGCCAGTATTTTATAAAATTAGGTACTTATTTTTTTATTTTATTTAATTAATATCTATTTAGTTATTCAATTATATTTTATTTCATAATAATATCGTAACATAATCTTCGTAATTGACTTAACTAACAAGAAAACCTACAGACGGCGATAACAAAGACTCAAACTTTAGTAATAGGTATCTAAGTATTATATTACTCGTAAAGACCACAGATAATAAATCCTTATCATCTTTGACAAACCAAAAAGGTTTTATTTATTTTTTGGTATTTTCATAGACAAGAGTATAGTTGTGTTTAGACTTTTAAATGAATGCAATCTGATTTGGTACTCCTTTATTCTGGTCATGTACAAGTAATACATTAGGCTCCGCTATAAAACGAGTTTCTGCACTGTATTATACGATATTCACGAGTAATGCGTCCACTCTGCAGATAAAAATGTACTCATACGAAATAATATTAAACTGCACACTCAGAAGATGAATCGATTTAAAATGTGAATTTATTACTCAGTGTTACACAAGTTTAAAATAACGTAATGTATATATTTTCGAATGTGTACACTGTGCTATATAATATCACGCTTTTTATCCCCGAAGGAGTAGGCAGAGGTGCATATTACGGCACTTAATACCGCTGTACAATGCAACACCCACTTTCCACTATTTATGTTACAAGTCCCATGTTATAGGGGGTGAACCTATTGCCATTTACCAGGCACAATTCCAGACTCCGTACTACATACTACCGAGATTTTTTTAAACCCAGTAATACTTTGCTCCACGCGGGAATCGAACCCGAGACCCGAATCGCACTTGCGACCACTCGGCCAACGAGGCAGTATTAACATAGGTACAACATACAGACACTGTGCTGTGTATGTTATTACCTAACTAGGATTTATTTTATATTCATTTTGCTTTAATTTATTCAATTTTAGTATGCACAGCTCCATCCTCTTCAGGTACCTAAGTACTACAAAATATTCAACACTTGTAATCAAGTTCAACGATTGAATAAAAAAAAGTAAACATGTCTTTCATATCACAAACAGGTAAAAACATCGCAAAGAAACAACTTAGCGATTATTTACTTATGCACAGATTAAAAAGTTATGAAGGATTTCTCAAAACAAATGCGAGAACACAACGAAGATTTGATATCAAAAGGTAATTTACAAAAGAAATAAGAAACACGGGAACTTCTCAACAATGAAGAGATTTATAACATTTCAAACAAAATTATAAAAACTTTGAACATTGTTTTAAGTTATTTTTAAATATCCAATTGTAATATTTTTACTCTGTTCTTGTAAGCACTTGTTCTTGTGACTCTGTGCAAGCGTTATCGCGCGGTTTTTATGAACTGTCAAAACTGAATTCGACAGTTTTTATTGGCAATCATAACCTAAAACTTCTACCCATCGTCGTCTTATTTCCGTGGCAAGAGTATATATATATCTATGTATTCATGTTTTTTTAAGGGGGGATAATCATCGAATGACTGCTCCCGCCTGGGTGAAACGGGAGGGAGTGTCAGACTTTAAGGCGGTTAGGATCTCCGTATGAACAAAATCTTTAGGTATGTTTAATCAAAAAAATATTACATTATCTGTACATTTTAAATTTAATGATAAAATAATAAAATAAAAACCTCATTTAAAAAACCGACTTCAAAAAACCAAAAACTAACAAAAAGTTAAAACTAAAAAACAAAAAATAACTATTATTAGTAGCGATAGGTTACCCACCCACTGATAGGTTAGAAGACGGCGGCGCCATAAGTTTGATACAAATTCATTAAAACCTTAATAGATAAATAGATACCTAATTTACAATTTGGCGGCCGTTAAGTATGTATCATTATGATATGAGGTTATGGCACATAGAACCTTCTCCTTTTTTTTAAGCCGGTAAAATGTACGTCTACGCTCGTTGTATGTGGTGTCACGACCCGCGTCATACCTGTTTGCACTGTCATGGGATTAAGGCTTGAGACGCCACAACATTGTACTTCAGTAGTTAATTAATAAATGAAAGTAAGTAGAATAAATGTAACGTGAGGTTAATTTTCCTAATGTAACTATGTACTTGGGAAAATTGTTTTTAATCGTAGAGGTAACTCGTGCCGGAACGACATGATAATATTTTAGTTTTATTGGTATAGAACTTTATATAATTATGTATGTATCTCTATGTAATAAATTTTATTTTTATTTTCAGCCTTGATCATCCCTCTATATGGCAAAGGTCTTTATTAATACATGTGTGTTTAAAATTGTTGCTTATTAAAACTTATCAATAAGAGTATTTATTTAAGATAGCAGTAGACTGAATACGTTAATGTGTGTGCCTGTTCAGAAAATCAAAGGTTGTATTTTGTGTTACTTACCCATAGTCAAATAGAGCGCCATGGCTGAAGCCAGCACAAACACGCGCAGCGCTGGTATGCTGCGCGCGTCGTTCACACATCCAGGGACCACGAGCCTCATTGTGACACCAGATTAGCTGTGGACAATACAAATATCACATTTATTAATGTAATAAGTAGTATTTTACTACTGCTCATTGGCCGAGTGGTCGCAAGTGCAACTGCCGGGCCTCGGCAGGGGTCTCGGGTTCGATTCCCGGGTCGGGCAAAGTATTACTGGGTTTGTATAAAAACCTCAGTAGCACGGAGACTGGAAATATACCCGGTATATGGCAATAGGCTCACCCCCTGTTACATGCGACTCATAACATAAATAGTGAAAAGTGGGTGTTACATTGTACAGTGATATTAAGTGCCATAACGTGCACCTCTGCCTGCCCCTTCGGGGATAAAAGGTGTGATGTTATATTAAGAAACTAACCAAGTTTAATGATTTACAGATTATAGAGACTGTGCAATTAGGTAAATCTGGCAATGGTGACTGGCAGCTGGCTGGCAGTAGTAGAATGCAGGACCTAATTTTTGGCATGTTGTTGGAGGAACCTATGTCCAAAAGGCTATAGAAGCAGGCCGATAAAGATGATAGGTAACAAAAGAAGTATAGTAAGCATGAAAAAAACCTCTACAAAACAACACAATAACACATTGAAACAAAGATAAAAGCAATCTAGTAATACAGAACATCTTCAAGACGCAATAAAGAAAAAGAATATTGCATTGTCGAGCGCTCGGATGAGAAACTGCATTTATTGCACCAACCTACTCGTATACATTGAAATTTTAATTCCAGAAAGGCTTGAAGCTTCCTTGTGAGTATATAAAGTTTTATAGACCAGGGAATCGCCTACAATATTATAGGTTTTATAGGTATTAACTTCAGTGAGTAACTAAAAAGATAGACGTTATTGCTTAGTATGGGGTAAATGGATTTTATCGATTGAAACCATGTTGGTTTATGAAATAAAGTAACTACTGATCGACAGACAGACCCTGACTCTATAATTTTGCCAATAATCATTCAATTTAAATAATTTCTTGCTGCATTTAGTAAGATGTTTGATTTATTTTTGACCCGGCTTTGATTTCAAAAACTTGCTTTACAGATTTGGATGAATTTAGTTATCCGACGAGAATGCATGAAAAGATTTATGACTGTCGATGAAGCGAAAAAGGGGTGTGGGAATCGTAGCAATTGGCGTTCCATAGTCTCTGTCTTGAGAGACAGGCGTGAAGTTATTTATTTATTTATTTATTTATTTATTTATTTATTTATTTATTTTTAACAGTCACAACGGCATAAAAATCCAATAACAGTAACTGATACAACAATAAAACACAAACAAAAGAAAAGTAAAACTTAGTTAAAACAAGGGTTAACACCATTCATGAGTTTCTCTCGCAGTACTTCAAGCATTCTGATAAAATCTCCTTCCATCCGTCCGCAAACAGATCACTAGTTGGATTGGAATCCAGGAGACCATTGAGCGCGGCCAGAGTGCGAGGAACAGGTGAATTAGCGCGTGCGACGGTACGACATGAGGGCACGGCAAATAGCCTGTGCTTTTTACCCCGGCAATAGTTATCTGGGACGTAAAAGCGCGATAATGACTCCAGTAGATCTGGAGCATCAATAGTGCCACGGAAAGTTTTACAGGCTACTGCAAGTTGGTTTCTTGCCCTCCTTACCTCCAGGGAGTTGTAACCAAGACTACCCAATAAAAATTTTGTCGGATAGAGGTAAGGATAGTAACCGTGCAGTCGCTTGTACAAGTTTCTAAGGAAAGCTTTTTGGACTTTTTCTAAGAGTAGGGCGTAAGTACTTTCGTGTGGGTTCCACACACACGAGCTAGTTTCCAACTTGCTACTACGAACTAGAGCATTAAATATGATCTTAATGGCATGAGCAGTGCGAAAATCACGACAATTACGCAAAACGAAACCTAACCTTTGGAAGGATTGCTTCGCTATTGTGGCTATATGGTCATGGAAAGTGAGTTTTGGTCGAATGTGACTCCCAAATCCCTCATGACAGTCGACTTCGTAATGCTGCTATTATTTAAACTGTATTGGAAGTTAATTGGGTTCCGCTTTCGACCAAATGTCATAGCATAGCATTTGGATAAATTAAACTCCATCTTATTGTCCACGCTCCATCTGTATACTGCATCAATATCTTGCTGCAGTGCCAAGCTGTCACGTTCAGAGTTTATTTCTAAATAAAGTTTCAAATCATCTGCATACAAAAGGCATCTTGCACGAAGTAGAATTGTAGGAAGATCATTGACCATGATAAGAAACAACAAAGGCCCCAAAATCGAGCCCTGGCTTACACCAGAACGCGTATGATAGGCCTCCGACACGTAGATACCAAGTTTGACAAATTGTTGTCGATCGCGTAGGTAGTCTGCAAAGAAACGTAGTAGAGATGGCGAAAACCCTATTTTGTTAAGCCTCTCCAACAGCGTGTCATTATTTATCCTATCAAACGCCTTCCGGAAATCAAAGTAAAGCACATCAACCTGACGTCCGCGATCCAAACTAGAAGATATGTAGTCCACTAACGTCAGAAGATTTGTATCAACTGACCTCTTGCTCCTAAAACCATGCTGCTCGTTACAGAGATACTTGTTAACTTGTTCGTAAACAATATTATGAAGGATGTTCTCGAAGACCTTTGCTGGGGTAGACAGGATTGCGATAGGGCGATATTCTTCAACGGAGCCTTTGTTTTGGGTTTTAGGAATAGGTGTAACCCTGGAAACTTTCCATTCAGTAGGATAAATACCGGTTTGCAAGGCTAAATTAAAAATGTGGCGTTATGTATTATGTATGTATATAATATTGTGTAACCCAACCTCAAATAACTTAATAAGATTTTATCGTAATAACAGTCTAAAGTGCGAACAAAGAGCAATACAATCCATAACCTTTGTACTCAATAAAAACACATCCCCAAACATCCATTACTTAACAAAAGAGCCCAGAAAACGACAATACAATCTCAAAACGACACATAACTCGCATTACTGGGAATAAATTCAATGGCGGACAAAAAGCTTCGAGCCTTATATCCGAATTTTCTTATTGTAATGCAAACGAGGCATATGACGTCACCTGTTCCGATTGAAGGAGGCATAGAGTCATTCAGATATTGGTACGCACAGCTACACATCAAGTTACACTGACCAGTATAAGCTGGCCGTCGAATATGCGGAGAGGTGTTACAAAGCAAGACTGAGATAAACTGATGGATGTGTGCCCATTTATTGATTGGGATACACACACACACACACGCATGCACTGGTTAGTGACACAGGTGCTTGGAGACAGCCATTTATTATTAAGAATGTTTCTCTGACTGAATGGTACCGATGACAATTATGAAAAGGAATGTTTGGTGGTAGATCCATTAGATGGTGAAAAGGTAAGGTCAGGTGTCATGAGGGATGTATTATATCACTATAACTAACCCCTTAGTTATACTGTTAAGTGTCGCATAAAGATTAGTTAATTCGGTTCCTTAAAACTTAGGAAAGGTTGGTAAAAACGTGGCGTGGGCCTCAAGGAGCCATCAGACCACCAAAGATGGGGCCCAATAAAGCTGATGTCGATACGGAGCCGCGGAGGTCTTAACGGGTTGCCGGGGCCCTGGTTCGAAATGCAGAAAGAGTGACAATCACTCTCGCCTTACCCGGGCGGGAGAAGTCATTGGATGATATTTCCGCCTCAGAAAAAAAGAAAAACAGGGCCAGTTTCTGACATCGTCACATTTGTACTTTTCGGAATCCAAAAATCAAATCTAAAACTCACTAGAAACCATTAAATCGAAGCTATCAGTTTGTTTTTCCAAAGGAAAGCAAGCGTAATGCTTGCGTAACATTATGTTATCAAATCAAAGTACACATTTGGCACCTTTGTATATATATCAACATGACATGTGACGTCACAAAACATACATGAAGGTAGTAAGTAGATAGATATAACATTAATAATAATAGCTTCAGTAACAGGTAGTCAAGGGCCCTGATACTCTCTGATATTATTGATAAACTGTCAACGAGTGACGCTTCGTTATCTGTGGCTCACAGGATTGAAGTGTCTATGTTCGAAATAGCGCAAAATTAGGTTGTTGTTTACGAGTAGTTATCTATGGTTGGTAGGTAAGTAGTTACTTTTCGTTTATGGTAGAACTGTTAAGGAAATAAGTGCTATGATTTACCTAACCACTCTGACGTCCGTGGATAGTACGGTATCCAAGAAAAAAGTAGCGTCATACGCCCATGGATACTATAGTATCCAAAGCGACGAGTTGTGTTTAACGCCCTCTAGTTTAAAATACGGTCTTGCTTGGTGAGTTTTGACAGATTATCTATACAGATGAATAAATAGTTCGACGAAAAAAATAGAGATGGCAGTGTAATAAGCTTTGACAAACAAAATATAATTTTTTAAGTTCAGTTGACTCGTTTGACGCGCGTGTTGTGAAGTGTTTTTGTGAATGCCAACAATTATGTCGTAAGTACTACAGTTTTGTTTTATTTATCTTGCAAGTGTTATACATCAAAATAAACTAGAAGATTTGTGCTTTACGATGATGTATAAATATCACAGTTTTAGCTGATAAATCTAGTCTACTTTTAACTTCAAACAATTGTTGTTTCGAAAAAAATGGCCGGTCGTATGGTGTCGGCCACTTTTAGTTTTGTTTATACATATTTTACATACTTTGCATTACAATAGTATATAAAATATCGAAATACATTTCGTAATAAGCAAAATAATACATTTTTCAAAGAGAAATATACTAAATTCACTGAAGATTCCATAATAATGTCAATGTGTTCCTCAGGTTTTTTGATGTGGACTGTTTGGTATCCACGGACGTTACATGAAACGTGATAAATAAGGTTCGCTATACACGGCAAAATATGTTTGCATTATTTTTGTTTTGCTAGTGGTGGTATAATATTTTGCTTGAGATGATACTAATATTTAATATAAAATGCACTTTTGGGTTTTGTACTAATATTCATCATTTATTTTTCGCTTGGTTTCCGTTGG